ATAATAATACGTTTGTTCGTGTCTGTTACAGAAATGACGTATGCACGCATGCGTATTTAGATGGAAAAATGCGCGCGCCTTATCATGACAGACAAAAGCCGAGTATTACTAGCAGAGACCCGCAAGACATTTGCGCTCAGATTAGTGTCTTTATTGCAACATTACTTCTTTAAGTACAAGATTTCTAGAATAATACAGAATAATTCTAATCGCAGATACCAAAATCTTGTCATACAATAATTCTGCTGTCGGTTCGCCGTATAAGCATGCGCAGTAAGAATTTTACACAGAATAACAGTGCAAGTGCCTGTTTATTCTTTATTAACCATTTAGTGCAATTACATTAAAAGCTTGAAGTTTTCAAAAAGGTCTGACGTTAGGTCTTAGAATAACATTATAAGTTTATTTATAGAATACTAAAATAGTATTAAGTACAGTATAGTTTAGTCCTAAATAAGCTAAGGTAAAAAACGTACACGTAACACAGTACAGTGTTAATTTATCTCTTTGTCAAACTTAGGCCTAACATTAGTTAAGGTTTTATAAAGTACAATATAAATACAAGTGTACTTACACATTTCAGTGTGTACAATGTAATCGTTTGTATTATTCTACAAATATTTTATTTAAAGAAATACTGTTGCAATAAAGATATAAATTTTCCAGCAAACGTTTTGCGGGTCTCTGCTAGTGCTAGTGTTTTATAATGGATGACTCAAGAGAAGTATGATTCCTTTCTGTGTGCCCCCCCCCCCCTCCAAAAGAGAGCAAGTTTATCACTTCGGTGGTTTTACTTAAAACATTTGATACAGATGTTTTGTATTAGATTAATTCAAAATATTTCCTCAAGTACTATATAATACAAGGTCTCATGTTTCAAGCATTTTTTTTCAAACATTAGAATTATTGTCATGGTTAAGAGCTTATACACTCACCTAATTATAATTATTAATTAGTTGTTTTCTTTGGCCTATTATTAAAGAATGTGTGTATTGCTTCTTAAATAAAAACAAACAATATGCAAATACAACTAATACTCATAAAAATGTCTTAAAATCAATGAGATTGTTGCTTTAAACAAGTAATATGAACCACACACAAGAAAAAAAAAGATAGATCTTCTAAATCCACTTAATTGATAACACTGAATCAGCAAAACCAGGATAACTCTTTTGAAACAATTCAAATAATTAATTATAGTACTTTGGCACTTGTGTCCTGAGGATGATGTTGTAACGTCGAAACATGTAGAGTCGTCAACTTTTTGAAGGCCATAGATAGGAACTAAATAAAATGTTTTTAACTGTGTACCAGTTTAACGTTGAAGATGTTCTAAGAATGAAGGAGAACAGATTGCCAAGACAAGTAACCATTGAAGGCAATTGGAAGAAAGTGCAGAGTTACCAATAGTTACCTAATTTAGAACGATAGAGAGATATACAAAATAAAGATCTGGACAAAATAGAGGTTCAGGAATGGGCAGAAGACCAAATGCAATGGAGTCTTCATAGCTTTCCTAAAAACCATTTTAGATCTGGAAAGGACTGATGATGATGATGACACAGTAATTAAATAATTATATTTAGGTGATTGTATAGTTAACTAACCATGACAATTAATAACCAACCATAAATACCTAACAGATGTGGAATGTTACACAAAGCCATGGGAATATTGATTTAAATAATATTGTATGCTAATATTCAATAAAAAATATCACACTGCACATCTTTTAACTTGTTTATTGTGAAAGTTCTTCAATAAAAAACAAACACCAATGGCAACAATCTTTGAAAGGTTTGTTCAACTAACTACAATATCACAAATTAACATTCCCACTGAAAGTCATCATAAGGAAATGGTATAATCAGTTGTTTAAGAAAAAAAGAGCTGTTTAACTAGATAAGAGCATTAAAATAGTATTAGTTCAAGGTAGGAATGTCAGAATATGAAGCACTGTAAGAAACAAGCAAGTTTTTGGTATTAACTGGTATATGTATAAATATAAATGTATGTGAAACAAGTTTAAAATACACACATAAATAATTAATATGATAAAAATGTGCAAAATAAATTAATTTTAACTGAATATATAGAATTGTAGTCTAAGAAATTTAGTTTTTTTTTTTTTACTTAGTTCACAACAATTAATTTCCATATTACTTTACATGCAAGTAACATGATTTCAAGATAACAAAACTATGCTAATACACTGTTCACAAGTTGTTTCAAAACTATTCTTCAAAATTACCTACTCAACCAAAATAACTGTAGGCCAAATAAGACTAGACTACACTGATATCACAAGATAGTGGTAAAAAAGAATTTCACTCTACACTTAGCTATGGTATCAAAATATGTAAAACTAGTTTAAAAGGTTGTGTATTTGTATGTGTGATGTATATATATATATATATGACCTACTGATTAAAACTGTTAATTTTACACCTGTAATACGAGTAAAAACACATGCAGACAACTTCAGCACCAATTTCAAACTTGGGAATAAGTTGTGAGAAAAACAAAGTTCATTTGAAACTTACTGCTGAGGCAGATTTTTTTTTCACAACTGGTGATAATTTTTTTAAGGCCTCACTAATAGGTAATGGTAATGTTACTGCTCATATCATAAACTTAAGTCTACTTTTATCAATATGTAGTAAGGCCAGCTGAGGCTTTTGTGCTACTGTAGAATGAACTTCACTAGAACTGTTAAACATATAATTTTCATCATCAAACGACCAAAAAAAAAAAAAAGCTGGTAAGTTGCACTTAAATTTTAATAAGAGATCAAGTTTCCTTACCCTATGAGAAAAACAGTGATTAAATATGAATAAATGACTATACTTAAACTTTTCTTGAAACACTGTAAGAAACAGAACAATTATAGTGCTGGTAATAACTACAATAATGTGTAATGGTTTCAGAATAAATAGAAATTATTTACAGGAAGAAAATAACATGACAACTGTAAGTTATATAAGTTATTTTATATAACAGGCCTATCAAATATATGTCACATGTTAAAAATATATACGACACTGCTCAATAGCAATGGAAGCATATAATAAGCCAGCACTTTATTTATACATTAACAAGTCTTACTATTCTAATAATTTATGTATATGCTCTATTACAGTTTATGCATATGCAAATCTTACAAAATTGTTCCAAACAAACCTATTAATAGCCAAATTGTGTGTACGTACAACCCATACAAATGTTGAGGTTGTATTTAAGAATCGTGTTTCTGATTAATGTCAGTAGAGAGACTAAACTGATAATAGGAAGAAATGAAGATAATGCTAAAACAAAATCACAAGATCCCAGAAACATACACATTTAATCAAGACAAAACTTTGGCATCAATTAAGTAGTTTTCTCCACTTCAAAATAATAATAATAAAAAAGAAAAATATTGTATTACGATCAAAGTTGCAATGTTAAATACAGGAATTATAAATGAAGGAAAAAAAAAAAAAAGAATTCCCTACACTAGTTAAAATATTGCACTTTAAATTTATAGCATTTTCAACTTCATGTTAAGATGCAGTCAGGTTGTATCTAATGGTTCTGTTCAGGAGATACAAACCATTATATACATGGCTTTGGTCTATTTATATCAGCAACACATACAAAGTAAAATTAGTTCAACTTACTATCTAAACTGACCAGACAAATTTAATTTCAGAGAAACTGGATCTTGCAATAATATACTGAAATATTCTATCTAAATGATGTCTATACATTGGTATAATGCAAAATATGTAGAAAATGTTCTACATGATTCAAAGTAGTAACATACAACTCGAACAGAACAAATAAAAATCCACAATAAGCAGTAGTATTATTGAATGGCTTGCATTTTTGTTAGAGAGATTTTAAATAAATATTTTTCATTTACATGCAAGATGCTTTGTTATAGTTAATTCAGTTGTAAATACAAATTCTGATGATAGCATGATCTAAAAAATATGGTACTTAGAGTAGATAAAGCAAAATCTGTTATAAATATCATCTGATTTTTAAAAAATTCAGAACTGAAAATGACAGAATTTATAAATACATTTACAAGTAAAATTAAAATTCCATGTTACAATAACTCACATTGTTACCTGTAACAAGTAATCTACACTGGTCAGTTGCCTTTTTTATCATTAATGCTCTCACAATTTTGAGCAATGCAATTTTACATTTAAAAGTAAACCTCTGTTCTACAACAAAAAATTTTCATCAGTGATACTAACTATATATATATACAAAATAATTTAATGCTAAATAGTTCTGTTACTACTTAAAAGTCTTAAATGTTGGTGAAACCTCACAACTTCTGTTCAAAATGATCAGATTTTAAAATGTACTTTATGAAAAGGTACTTTTGCATAACAATATATGAATGAAATATTTCTATAAAGTGATTAGGCACAGCATCTTTTTACAAGTGATAAAGTTCAGTTACATATGTCAAAAAATGTGACACAGCTTACCATGAAAAGGGACAAACGTAAACTGCTGACTAAAAGAAAATTAATCATTTCTAAAGGGAAGAAAGGCACGATGTTTATCAGACATGGATTGCAAACAGAAATTAATATATGAAAAGTACTACACGTTATTTTAAGCTTAATCGGCAATATTCTTATAAGTGCATTTAATAACAGTCATAAAGGAATTATCTCTTAAAAAGTTTATTTCTAATTATTACACTAGAACTCTATCTGTGAACCAATATAACAATATATTAAATTCTAAAGTGACCCATCAGATTTTAACATACAATGAATAACTTTCAACATGAACATTTCTAAGTTGTCTGTACAACTTTTGACAGTTTTTATGGCTAACTTGCAGTCTACCAGAGAAGAAATATCTGATTTATCTTGCCCTTCTCTACAACAACAAACAAAAAACTTTTCTTCCATTTAAATGAGGTCAGGAAAAAAACAAAGAATTAATAAAAATAAATATAAAAGTGATTCAGATAAAAAAACTATATAAATAAATTATCTTTTCTTTAGTGTCAAGAAAATAAAAAAATTAAACAAAGCTAAATTTTAAAATATAGCTACATGCACATGTCAAAGCACAATTATACAATTTTTTGCAAAGCATTGAAAGTCACTTACAAAGTAGTAGAATTTTCTTACAAGTCACAGTAATGAGATGATTATCATAGAAACAAGAAAACCAAGAGAATGAAATATTAAAACAAGGCAGTCATAACTTTTAAACATCAACAACCATCTTCTTATGAACATCTGTATTTCCAACAACCTGAAATAAAAAAAGTTTCAGAACTTATAAAAAAAAAAAACTATTTTAAATGATTAAATACAGATGGTACAATTTTAAAGTTTCTAAAATGTAACTTAATCCTTTGTATCAGAAAATCTACTTGGACAAATAAAATAACATTTTAAGCATTTAAAAATAAAAAGTTGCATCTTACGGTGTAAAGTTGAATTTAAATTACTTCTATTACATAAAGGATCACTGCTCAATTCCAAGCTGTTATTTCTTCAGAGTTTTCATACTTACACCACAGAACTCTTCAAAGGATATCATTCCATCTTCATCTTTGTCAGCAAAAAGAATGGTTTTGTCTACAATCTGCTGCAGCTGTGTCTCCTTCAAGTTGCTTCCTACCATCACCTTCAATACCTGGAAGAGCTCCCCATTGGAGATATAACCATCATTGTCCATATCATAGATTCTGAAGGCAACTACACACAAAATAATAAATCTTTTAGTGTAATACTTCTCTGCATGATCTGTAATATTTCTTTCAATACTCTAAAATGTAGATTTCAAAAGTGAATGTTTCTGAGTACCAGTTGAACTATCAACAGACAGTGGTATGATACTAAAAAATAAAACAGAACAAGTATTAATTTTTGAAGATACTAAGGATTTAATGAAATCCTTACACAAATAAAGAAAGTTATTTGAGGAAGGTTGTTTTTGCAGAGAGCTTTCGCCTTGCGTTTGTTATTGAGTCCCACTTCAGCATGGATACCAAAACACTGTCATCAACTACTAAAGGCAGGACCTGTTCACAAAAAAAACATTCTCAAATATCAAGCACACTGCCTAAAGCTACCTTTAACGAAAAAATTATTTTATGCATTTTCACACACAATCCTAATTGTACTCAAAATGGTCACAGTACAGTGATATCTTTAAGGTGACAAAGATTTTCACTCACACATTATTTCACCACATCAAGTTAAATCTTTGCAGTAAAGAATAATACAAAAGTGTGATAGTCTAGGATTCTTTTTTTATGTGTATTTGACAAAACTACCTAGCATTATTTCAAGCTCCACACACACAAACACACCTCGATACTGCATAGATACTCTTAGTTCTCTTGTTTCGAGTTAGCAAAAGTATTATGGTCTTTTGTAACACTGTATTAGACAATTGTGTAGAAACTTGCATGCACAAATTAATTTCATTCTTTTTAAGATATTACTTAATATTATTTGATGTAATTGAAGGAAGACAGAATATGCAATTACAAGCTAGTGTATCACCCCTAAAGTACAATTTAATAGCATTAAATAAGGAGTTGTTTGGATGATAAACGAAAGGTCTATCAGTTTCCTAAGAAATGCTATTGAAGTTTTTAATGTAGGTTCTATAAATATTATATCCTTAGTTTACATTGCCTTACCTTGATCAGGTTTTTAAGCTTTCTGTCTTTTCATTTAAATTTTTTCAAGAGTAAGTTAGTTGTGGTTCCTGCATTTTAAGAAATCTTAAGTTTTTATAAATATACTACATTGTAACTGTTAGTTTGTTTATGTCTGTTAAATGCTAGTTTATATTTACTTTCTGTTACTTCATTCCATTTTTTGTTTTACTCTTCTTATTTGGTTTTTACTTTTGCTCTGTAATTATTATAAGATTCCAGAAGATACTTTGCTAGATTTTAAAGTCAAATTACACATAACCTTACCTGAAAAGTTACATAGATTATGACTTTTTATATCCATGAAATTTGTTCAGTTTTGTTTTTCAGTATTAAATACTGTAGTTAAGGTTTTAATTTATTTTCTACATAAAAGTGTTTTCACTACTTTTATGTTTTCTCTCTTATTATTATTTTGCATAATAATGAGATTTTACTTAATGAATAATTATCATAAAAAGTAATGAAGGAATACATGATGTAGAGTTCGTGGAAGAGTGGATTATTTTTAAAAACAGTGGATTCAACTTCAGTTTTCTATAGCTTCAGTGACTGTGGTTGAAGTAAATGTTGGAGTTTGCTTTCATGGAAGCAGCAGGTAAAGCAGAGTTAGAAATATGAAAGAAAATCTAACAGCTAAGGCAGGTCTCAACAAATATTTTCAGATCTAGAATTCAATGAGCCAGGTCCTATATAGAATAGTTATGGAATATATTTTGAGTCGATTGTGTGGTTATGGTACAAGACATACAGTTTTACACTAAAAAAACAAAGGGTTCATTATTAAACTTTATTATATAACATATATCAAAGTTAAACTTCAATATGTGCAATTATTAAAATAGTAAACTAAATAACTATAACTTCGGTGGATTCTTCCAATGACTGAAAGTAAAATAAAAATAATCACTGTGATATCGACAGGCCAAGCAGGTTGTTTCAGAATAAGTCTAATCTACTCGTCACTACAACACTGTACAACAATAAGCAAAGGCCTTTTGGTGTGCCTAATCTAACTTCATTACTCTTTGTACTGAGAAATAGAGGCTATATTTATTTACTTTCACAGTAACGAGTGAGAGTATTGCCTTTGGTCCCATCCGAGTCTAAACACTCGCACTGATTAGTTGAATTGAAAAAAAAAAGAAAACAAAATGGTGCAAAATTAATAACGTGTTGTGCAGCCGCAGCACTTCATTCCTGAAAAAAACGTGAAGTACTGAATCTGCCATTAAAATCCTAGAAACAAAATTTGATTTATGACTCAAAGAAACAAAAAAGTTCTGGACTTCCAAGAGTCCAGAACTGTTCTAGATTCAAGTTCTGTTTGGCACAGCCCTACGCACAAATAAAATGGGAGAAAATACGAGACACCACGATGAAATCTTTAGTCACCATAGCACCCGAGATTTGTCAAGCCCTGAGTTAAGGTTACTTTTCTGAGGCAAAAAGAAAATAATGGGTTTAAAATAATGTATGCAATGAAAAAAAAGGCTTACAGCTCAAGAAAGAAATGTCAGGTCAACATAGCTGTTTCAAAAACTTAAAGTATCTGACTGTTAATGAGAATGAAGAAGATAAAGATATTGTAACAGATGACTAAGTATAATGAAAGTTAAGTATGTATTGAGAGAAATGATAGTTTGATGATCAAGTTATATAAAAAGATAGCGGAGAACTACAGCACAGATAGTTTTGCTGTTTCAGAGATATTGGCAAACCTAAACTACATGAACTAGAAGCATCATTCCACTCGTAATATACAATTTGAAACAATGTTAGGTAAAATGAATATCTGTCATACAATAAAGAATTAAATCACCAAAGTAAGATAAAAAGTATATCTTCTTCCTTTTGTTCTGTTTTCTGACAAATGCAGTAACTTTTGAAACACTGTATCTACATTACATGACATTTCACTTGTTTGTTGACAACAAAATAAATAGTAGTATATCTGCCAAGACATTTGTATCATATCATACTATTTATTAACATTTTTAAAAAGAGCAATTCTATGCATAAAATGAAAATAAAAAAATATATAAAATAGAGTGTCCTAGGATAGTAACAGGTATGCAACACTGTATATTAAACTTTGATCATAACTATCAGGCTATACTTTAGGTTGTATACAAACATATCTTGCTGGAGAGAAAGCCGAAAATCAGCTTCTTCAGAAAAAGTGATCAATAGCAGCTACATACAAAATGTATTTTATCATTTGCTAATCTAGGGTTCGACAATGACATTGAATGCACAGATCAAGTACCACTGTATATACTATGTGTGTGACAAAAGAAGTGACATCTGGAAGAAAAACACTGTAAATGTGAGAAATTGTCAAGCTATAAAAAGAACCCAGCCACATAAAGTGGAGATGTCAGACACACACAAGCCAAGTTAGAAGAAACAACAGAGGTAACCTTGTAACCTACTATTACTTTTATTATCAGTAGTAGTACCAACATTATTAGTTTAATTATTATTATTATTAGTATCACAAGATGTGTAACAACTTTCAAACTAAAACTGTCACCTTCATCTGCTGGAATCATACAGACAAGACACATTAGGAGAAACAAGTGAGGCAACATTGGCCCATACAGTTCAGACAACACACATTAGAAGAAACATGTAAGGCAACATTGGCCCAAACAGCTTTTACAATTGTGTCTATTTGCTTGGTTGTCCCAATAGTTTCTTCTAACTTGAATTGTGTGTTTGATTACAGAAGAGTAAGATAACAGTTGCAGACTGAAATTGGTTGCACATTTTGTAATAACAATAATTACACTAATGATATTAATACTACTACTAATAATAAAAGTAATCGTATATTACAAGGTTGCCTCTATTATTTCTTCTAACTTGGCTTGTGTGTGTTTGATATTTCCACTTTATTTGACTGGGCTCATTATATAATTTGGCTTTTTTTCATATTGACAATGTTAGTGTTATAGACTGGGACATACAGGACAACTTAGGCTGGAGCTTACTTACTCAGCATTAAAGTTCAAAATGTTTTGGAAAAGACAGACAAGTAACATGAACTAAGGAAAGTGTTCTTTTCTATAGTACATGTTAGTGCATAAATGTTCGTAATGGTAAATTTTAGGAGTTAATTCAGAGCTTTCACCAAATTCTTTTATGTATCAGGTGCAATCAAGATATTTTGTTCAGAGTGCAGGAATTAAATGAATGAATGGATCAACAAGTAAACTAAAAGAACAATGGAATAAGTTTAATGGAAAAAAGATAGTACTGAAGAAAACTGATCCTAAGCAATTGTATCTTGAACTTTATATAACATGAGCTAAATTGATTAGATGGTTATAATGAAAAGGAAGTTTAAAATAAAAAAATTAGATTCCTTTACACCAATACAAGAATTATTTTCATAAACTTTAAAATCAGAAACTCTGGTTTATCTTAGTATGTTATCATTGGTATCAATGAGTCTTGGTTAATTGTAGAGTAAAACGATCTTTCGCATCTAGCCTGAAAGTAAAAAGAGGAGTACTGATGACTTGGTTTGTAAAAAGTGCAATAAATGCTCATAAAGTTGGCAACTTATAAAATTTGTGAACTGAGGTTCCAGGAAGAATGAAAAAAAATGTTTAATCATGTTTTTTAATGTATCTTCTAAAAAGAATTTTGGCAATAACACAACTATGTACAAGCATCAGTTACTTTACCAACATATACAGGCTTATTTTAAAAGTCTTGTTTGTTGTGTTAAATAAACATCCTAATGGAGTAATTTTTTCTTTTGTGTATTTTCCTTTTTATTTTATTGCACACTGAGTTAAGAATAGTGATGTGGGTTAAATAATCGTCCTGATGGAATAATTTTTTTCTGTAGTGTATTTATTTTCTTGCAAATTGAATTAAGAATAGTGAAGTAGGGATCAAAAATATAAAAATTATTTTAATCTTGAGTAATTTTTTGAAAAATAAAACTTGAGTCTCTAACACTAGGTGGAACTTCAAAACTTTTTAAATTTACCAATAATTGAATTATTATATTTATATATTAAAAAATGAAATATACAGAACTAGATGGAGACTCATGGATGAACTAACAGCAAAGTCTTATATGTATGTAAATTAAATGTGTTGGGGTATCAACTTTCAAGATAATATACAATTAAAGATATTTATTGTGATATATAATATCTGCAACTTTTATAACTAAGGTACAATAACCCAATTACCACTAGTCACAATATAGCATTAAGGAGATAATGTTCCCTTACTAGCAATGTAGAAATTGAAAATTAAGTGTTAAAAAAAATAAAGAGCTATAAGCACTACTCACACTTTAGTTTAGATTCCTTATCTCCTTTCACACTAAACTGAGACACACCTTGAATAAACTCTGAAAAAAAAAAGTGATCTCTTCTAATTTTTAATTTTTCTTAGCTACATGCTTAAATTAAACTTTGGTCTAACAAATCATTTATATGTGAAAGGTAGGTTAAGGATAGAAAATTTTAAATTCTTATCTTATGCTACTGAAAAAATCTGGTGAGCGAAAGATCTCACCAGTAACAACATACAGAAGATAGTGTCCTTAAAACTTTATTATACATTTCTTCTATCACATGTGATGTAATATCACAACTATTAATGTTAAAGTCAACAACTTGTGGATTATGTGCCAAAAGACAGACTATTAAAATTTCTATTCATTCATTTATTAATAATGTGCTCACTTTCATGTAACTAAAACATTAATTACCAGCACTTGTGTATTATTTAAAATTATAATAAATAATTAAAAGCAACATTTACTATTTACACAATTAAAACTTTATTGAAGTTGTACAGCTTCCACTTTAAAACAACACACCAACATTCAAGATGTCGAAACTAGTACCTGTAGAGTGTTGGTGTGTTGTTTTAAAGTAGAAGCCATACGGCTTTAACAATGTTTTAATTGTGTAAATAGTAAACATTGTTTTTAATTATTTATTATAATATAACTACAATATCTTAACATCTGCAAACTACCAATTAGCAAAGAGAAACAAACCTAAGATGTTTAATCATTTGGAAAATATTCAGTGATAATTAGTCACTGTGTGGATGTACCACCAAGAAGTTTTTATATATGTGAACAAGCTTCTTTACAACACATCTGTTCCTCCATCACGAGTTAAAGTAAATTGTGGACATTATCATTGTTTTTATTACACAAAAAACAGTTAACAAAAAACTTTTTAATTCTAAGAGCATTTTACCTTTATAGCTTATTTATTAAGGTAATTTTATAAACATATGCTGCAATAGACTGTTTGCTTATAATATGAGATAATCCAATTAACAATTGACATTTTCTTTCTATCTTAATCCTTTATCCACTGTATTTTAATTCCACTATAATTTTCTAAAAACTTGCTGAAACATTCTGTAAACCATTCCTGAGAAAATAAGCATACCTTTAAAATCAACTTCTCCATTTCGATCAGTGTCAAATATGTCAATCACTCTTTGCACCAATGGGTTTTGCTGAAGTTCTGGTAAGGACATAAATTCATCTACACTGAGAGAGCCAGAGTTGTCTAAATCCAGTTTCCGAAATCTTTTCCCAAGTCTCTTGATTTCATCGGCATCAACTAAAATACAAAAATCCAAGATTTTTAACCTATATTCTATAACAAAAAAAGGACTTTACTATTGAAATTTTGAAAATTTAATGAAGAAGGACTATTGTGCGCTTTCTTTAATTCTGAAAAAGCAAAAGATGTTTTTACAGACACTTGAAAAACAGAACATTTTCTGATCGAGCCTTTCTCAATTATTATAGTCAAACTTGGATATAAAGGCACACATAATTGATGCTTTATTCAGAACATGGATAATGTTTCAGAGTTCAAAAACTTGCATAGTTTTAACATGTTTTCAAATTCAATTTAATAAGTTACAAATAAGTAGCTCTTATCTAAATACACTTGAACACAAAATCTGAAAGATGTTTAGAAATTATCTTGTGAAGCCTCAAATCTACCTCTTTTATATCTAGATCCTACTGTTTGGCAATTGATTACTAAAAGAAAATCTTGCCTTACTAATGTGTTATGTGAATGGTTGAAAGGGTGCAGACTTTATGCACTTAGATTTTCAAAAGGCTGTTGACAAGATGCTACAAAGAATATTAGTTAATTGTACTAAAGTGAGGCTAGGTGAGGGAAACTAAATATTATTATCAAATGAGTCCTCTCATACTGGATCTTTATTATTAGTTTTGTGCCTCAAGAAATCAGTGCTTAGGCATTTGCTTTTTTCTTAAACCAATGGCACTGATAGGGGCATAATTAATAAATTATTAAAGTTTGTTGACAACAATGAACTCTGTAAAGTTTTTTTTAGCTCTACTGACAATGTTCAGGTGCTACAGAATGGCTTTGATAAATTGGAAAGTTGGACAAATAATGGCAGATGACCTTTAATGATAGTAAGTACAAATTAACATCTTTGAGTGATTACACTTCAAATCATGTTTTCACGGTAGACAAGAACCCACTCAATGGTGTGACTGAAGAAAGGGTCCACACACTCATTCTAGCCATTGAGGCAATACTCTGTTCCCATTAGTAAATCTACTAAATTTTAAGATTTATTTAAAGATATTGACTACAATTCAACCAAGGAAATTATCTTTTTATAAACTTGAGAGAATAAAAAAAAAGGCAAATGATGATCTTATCATTACTTACAAGACTATGAGTGATCTAAGTTTAGAAGATTATCCACAGTGATCTTATCAACGTTTACAAAATTATTGGGAATAACCTCATTACATTTTCAAGATTATTCAGGGGATTGATTAGATAAGGTCTGCTGGTTTCTTTGTGGTGAATTTTGAAGAAAATAAAACCCAAGTTAATACTTGGAAAAAGACAGGATAAACTCCAATTAAGAAAGTTGTATGTTTATATATGGTGATTAGGTTACGGAATGAATTACTAACAGCAGTAATGAAGGCTGGCACCTTACACAATTGTAAACAATTATTTCCTGAAAAATAAAGGATGGACTTTTATATTTCTTGGAGGAAGATGGATAGACAGTCTTGAAGGACCAAATGATCCCATTGTCCATATATTATACAATAATGTACTACAAAAAAACAGCTCACATATACATCTATACAATTTCAAGATTTTGTCTAATAACAAATGCTCCTAAACAAAATGCAAAATCTATGGACACCTAAAGTATAAACATACTTATAACAAATACAAGCTACACGCTGTCTTCAGTATTTTTCTAATATAATTTGTCGGGAATGTCAATGACTACTAACACTGACATTGAGTTTAGAAAATGCGGAAGGCCTAGCTACCATGAGAAAAGCAGAAAAATCCATGAATTAAACAGAGCATAATAACAATAACTGCAAGTTTTGATCAGTATGAAACAGAATAACAATAAATAAAATAAGGCTAGCTTTGCCTCTCTCCAGAACAATACAAACTACAAGTATGAATGACAATACATATCAGCAGTGTGTATGTGTGTACATGTGCAGGGCTCAGACATTGTATACGTATTACAGTGTAGTATGTATTAGAGTTCTGATGCAAATCTAGTCTTACTATAGGCTGTACTTTACTGTATTTGGCAGGCAGGACAAGCTGGTTAGAATGAAAACATTGAACATGATTGGCCAAGTTTGCTATTCTGTTTAAAAGTCACTGACAAAGCTATTCTGTAAATAGTGATCACAGAAATGGATTGACTATCCTCAAAAGCCAAGTATAAAAAAATGAGATGAGGAAAAGTAGGATGACCTAGAGAAAGAGAGTAGTGAATGGCTCAGCATCAATAAATCATTCATTTGTGGTAATAAACTGCAAGGGTGGATAGTAAACGAAATTCAACAAGAAAAACCAGCTTGCCTAGCAAGGGACCACACCAAATTCACACATGATGATGGTTAAAGATAAACATCTGAAGGTGATATAAAAGGGACATCCAAGACCAAAAAGATAGAGATCTTAGGATCACCAACAATTAAAGAAGTAGATACCACAATTAAGCTGGCCATAGTGAAGCAGTTATTAGTAAGAATGACTTGATAACTTGAATTATAGACAGCTCCCTCGAAAGAGGCTGAAGAGGAGGATAGGCATGCAGGAGAGTGGACTGACCAAATGATATTCAAGAGGGGATACTACCACAGCCAAAATGCCTGGAACTGGAGTCCAAGAAAGTGGAAGTTCAATATAGAGGATACTTCAATGCTGATTACATCATACATTGGCATAGTACACATTACTAACTGTAAGGATGGGAGTTTTGTTCAAAGGCATATGTGCTAAAACATTTTGGTAGTGGCATCTGTTCTGTGGAGAAATGAATAGCATTTCTGAAAGCACAGAAGGTGTCTTACAGATAATGTCAAGGACACACAATGTTAGTCAGTACTCTATCAAGAGCCATTTCATCAATCAATATCTTGATAATATATTTTTTTTATATCACAAACTGTATGTACTATTTAATCTTTTCCAGATTGATAAGCATTTTTCAGATGTGGAGTGCTCACCTGCATATCAAATTTCAAAATTTAAATAGAAATGATAATTCTACCCACATTTAACACTTTTTATTTGAAAGAATCTTAGAGTTGATATTTTGTCATCTTATAACATTTATTTAATGTTATTTGCAAAGAAAATTTTTAAAAATTGTTCCAACTTTCATTTCTGCACAGCTATGAGGAGTCTAACTGTAAACAATACATCAAATTTGTAAGAATTTTTCTGTCATCCCAAAGTTTAGGTTTCTATTTGGTAAGAGACTATCATCTTTGAGAATATAATTTTCAATATCATTTTTCTCTCTTTCTTTGAATCTTATTAATACAGCCTCTAGGTTCCCATACTTTTATGACCTCACAGCAGGTGAGCTACTAATAAAACTCAACTTTCAGAATAGCTACAGGTAACATGTAAATACCAATGGATAGAGCAGATTATAAACAATTAACTTCAATGTAGAATGAATAATTTGGTGTGAGAAGCAATCTGTAGTTGCATGGTAAAGAAATAAGATTTAACTTGCATGGACAAGAATACTGAAATGGAGTGGGAAGATTAGAAAACTTAAGGTAGGAACAAACCACAAATCTGAAAATATATACATTCTTTTTGTTCCTGAAAATGCTTGTGTTAAATTATGTTTGTTTGAAAGCTACTGAAATTTCTTCTACAACAAGACATCAGATAAGTTATATTAAATTTAGATGGCAAAATATTTCAATGACTAAAACCCTTATTTATTGAACATTATTGTTAACTTTATGATATTCAAACAATGAAATAAATAAAAAAGCTTTTAGTTTACAGAAAAGAAAATCTATTTTGACCAAAAATAATATTAGCAAAAATATGTTAACTAATCTGACCTAATGCCATTTTGAAAGGTTAGGTCTTAGATCATAGATAAATCTTTGACACTTTCTGCAGTGGTTTTTAAGATTTGCAACTGGCAACATAAAAACCCCAAATAAATTTACTACTGAATATCAATCAAGTTGAAATTGACTGGATATATAAAATGGAACTTTTTGATCAACATAAAAAAAATAACTTAAATTCTAAAACGAAAGAATTACATTTAATTTTTTTTTTCACAAAATAAAAGTGATAGAAAAACTGAAGGAAATTAAATCATGTTATGTCAATCATCCTCGAAATCAATGTTGATACAACAGAGATACAAGATTTTGCTAAGTTTCATATCTCTAAGTCAAGTGACTTTTATATGAGAGGTCATCAAATATGTGATTTGAAATGGTTCCTAGTTGAGACCTAAAACATAAAATTACCAATAATGTTCTTGCTTTTAATGCTGCAGTAAAAACTAAACAATTGTTAGAAAACATTAAATTACTGACTTTTCACCTCATTTGGACTGTCAGCCTCAATATGGATAGCCAAAATCAAGGTTGGACACTAAAGTTCACACTATCCTCTTAGTTTGTGCCCAAAACCAGCCTGGTATCTTGATGGGACCAGGAGGTATTCACTTATCACACTGTGTCATTGTAGTTTTGTGGGTGATAAATTAAAGTATGATAGAAAGGGAAAACAACTAAGTCAACTCATGATCAAATAACACTGGCACAGCAGGAGATATGAATGTTTATGATTCATATATGTGGTGGAAAAGCTGTCGCACACATAGTAGAAAGGCTGATGTGAGGAGGTAAGTTCACATAAATGGCAAAACTTACAACACTACTAAAATCTATACTGACTCAACTGATGACCTTCTTGAGCAATGTTGGTGCCTACCATAGTTCTTTCTCTGGCAACTTGTACGTTCTTCCTATTGCTATGGTGGGGTTACCAACTGAAGTGTTTGGTTTCATTCCACAACCAAGATGTCTGGATTCTGTGGGAATTAAAAACTGTGTGCTAGTTGAGCAGGATGCAAAACTTGACTCTCACCTTGTCACTTTTTTGCAGATGGTCTTCAACTACAGTTAGCTGTCATTTCCTATTGTATTCGTAGGCAACACAAGTTACAATATATTTCATGAGGATAACTTCTCTGAGGCTGCTAACTTTCACAGTTTTTCTCACACCTTTGACAGAGTAATCCCTTAGGCTCAATTTTGAGAGGAATTTAGCAACTGGACAGAATAGAAAGAATTGGTGTGTTCCTATTAGCAAGCTTGCAATGTTTCTCCTCAGTGCCCACTTCAACTGTTGGGATGTATTGAAAAGGAATGTTGGGAAGAGTTTTCCTAACCTATTTAAAAAGGATTCTTATGGTAAGGATTGGATCATTCAGCCTACCTGCTGTTGCTGCCAGGTGCTTGACAGTTCCACCAATGCCCATAACAAGACATTTTCCCATAGCTTGTCGCAAATAAATGCCATTCTTAAGTCTTAATGATGATATGCAAAGTTTATAAAATTGTTTTGGTTCTTGTACTGCAAATAGCAAAGCAGCACCATCCAAGAAGAAAAACAGATATATATTACCTCAACATTTATAATATATGTAAACTAGCTGTGTACCCGTCCTTCGTACAGGTTGTGTGTATAAATAATACATTAATTTAACAATTAACAAACAAATTACTTGTATATTATTTACATTACATTTTACTTTTTTTATTGTACATTATTATAACAATTAAATATGAGTTAACAAAAGATACTGTGGACCGTGTGTTAACTGCGTCACTTAGAAAAAACGGACAATGTCAAATTGTGATGAGTTGTACTTGTGTGTTTGTAGTGTATCACACATCTGTGAAAAAATTAGTTTTATTTACCGAAGAGCCTCTTGATAGACGACATTGGAAGTACGTCCACCTGGGGCATGGATAAATAGGCTGCGAGAAGATCTGACTCTTGAGCAGGCTACATATAGCTGCCCGTGTGAAAAACAGTCAGATCCACTGAGCTCTATCCCGGCAGTGGACAATGTCTGGCACTGTGACTTGTTGATAGTCATCGCAAAGCAGACGCTGACCAGGAACTGCAGCCGCTTGAACTCAAACGGGTAGTTGCTTGGGATCAAGGGGATGTGCGGTATGAAGACTGACTCTCCAGCACCACAGCCAGTGAGGATGTCTGCCTCGATGACGCATCTTTGCAGACTACGAAGCCGCGTTCCGTTGCACAACTTGGGAGCGTGTAAGTTGCGGAGGAGCATTATTGGAGCTCCGACCTTAAGCGTGAGCTTGTGGGCAGGTAATCCGGGTGCTGTTACTGAGTCGAGGAACTCTGCCGGGTAGTGAACGGCGTCATCCTGGTTAAGAACTGTGTTAACAGATTCATACGCTCGTTCCTCGCACAGACAGCTGGAGTGACGCAACAAATTTTTGCAGGAGTTGTTTTCTTTCCAACATAGAGATAATAAACATTGTTTTGAAAATTTTACATTGTATTCATTGTTACTATGGTAATCATTAAAACAAAAAATGGCCATAAAAATAACATTGGAACTTTGAAGACCCGTGAGGCAGAGCCCTAAGGTGAATTCCAAAAATCCAAGTAGCCTATAACCTTCTCACGCATGTATAGAACAAAGAAAAAAGTTTCATCGAAATCAGTGCACTCGTTTCCCTGTGAAAAGCGAACACAATCACGTCCAAAAGCGCACCAAGGCAGGTTTTTGAGCGGCCGCCATTTTCTTTCCAAAAGGTGTATGACAGTTTCAAGTAGCCTATAACCTTCTTACACATCTATAAAACAAAGAAAAACAGTTTCATCGAAAACGGTGCACTCGTTTTCCCGTAAAAAGCAAACAAAAACACGTCCGCGAGCATTAAAGACAGACAGAAATTAAGATAAGGCTTGTTTCAGCTTCTCTGGTGTATGAAACGTGAAGATATGCAAAAAGTACACTATTCTAGGCAATGTACAGACAAAACTCTTATTTTATTTACATAGAGATGGACATTAATGGGTCAGGCAATTTTAAATAGCAACTTTCACATGCAAGTCTGAACTTTTAGTAGGCATTAGAGATGTCCTATACATATTTTTAAAGCCAGGCTGGACCATCAACCCTCTCCAGTCAATCCTAGATTTATCACACATGAAAATACAATGACACAATTTAATGAG